CTAACCAGTTGTCGTTAATTTGTTGTCGTCGTAATAAACAATATGTACGTAATTGCGCATACGTGAATATTTTAAGCTGTGGTTTCATCCATCATTTTCAAGATATTTTCATGTGATATTGTAACATGACTTGGCTGAAATTTCAGCACGAAAAACAGGGCTGAAACTAAGCCCTGGTTGAAATTGCTCCATGTAATTGACCTCTTAAAATCATAAAAAACTTAAATGATACCTCTTTCAAAAATTGAGTGGGCTGCTTATCTTCAGTCGTGTTTTCTGTAGTAAAGAAATAGACAAAAAAGCAAGCCTAAATGTGTGTTTCTTGATATCAAAATCAAACTTAAGCTTCAAAAGTCCATAGAAAACAAATATTTATCTTCTTCACATGTAATTATTATATCTTTTATGACATTTAATCAACTAAAAGGAAATATGTGTTTCTTAATTGACTTAATTAAATTATTGTTGAACCTGTTTCGCAGGCTCCTCCAAGTTCTTCCTTCAATAATCTAGAAAAATTTAGATGAGATAAATGATATTAAATTGCTGATCCCATATTACGAAATAGTCGTGAATGCATAACATTTTCGTCTGCCATATCTTGCCAAAACGTTTTGCTGTAAACGTTTCTTTATGTTGTTTTGTGTACGCCAACAACTTTTCATCTTCTTCAGGTGTTTATAGTCTGAAAAAATAAATTAATTTTACTACTTATACTAGTAAAAATCGGTTTCTGTTTAAGTTAATAGTAGAGCAAAGTGTTTTGTATTTCTTAGATACAAGTTATTTAATGCTTGCATTCCGATTTTCCAAAATGTTTTAAAATTACGTGTAATCTTGTTGTAATGTTAAATGTCCTGAGCTTTTTGGCTTTCTAAGAAGTGCTGTACAATAACGCTTGTTTCATGTTGTGTGGCATGTTTATGAAGTCGTGTTTAAGGCATCTCTCAGTTTTACCAATGTAAGATTTGTTACGACCTTGGTAGTAATTTTATAGAAGACATTGAAACGAGACAGTGGTAAGATTTTGTCTCTGTTGGAAGATTAAAGCGACTTTGTTGTGTCAAAAATAATAATGAACTGGCTTGATGTGATATTTACGAATTTTTTTGAAGAGAGTTATAATAATATTTTTGCCTTGTGAGACTTGATAAGGTATCGACAATTTTTCATTCGCTTTGGTCGATGGTTAAATATTAAGAGAAATCATTTGATGAACTAGTGAAATTGTATTAGTGTTTGAGTTTATTAATAATTGACTTGACCAGTTGTCGTTAACTGTTGTCGTCATTATAAACAATAGGTACGAAATTACGTATACGTGAATATTTCAAGCATTGGTTTTATCCATAGATTTTAAGATACTTTCATATGATATTGTAACATGACTTGGCTGAAATTTCAGCACGACAAACGGGCTGAAACTAAGCCCGGGTTGAAATTGCTCCATGTAATTGACCTCTTAAAATCATAAAAAACTTACATGATGGCTCTTTGAAATTGATTAGACGGCTCTTCTTCAGTCGTGTTTTCTGTAGTAAAAAAATCGACAAAAAAGAAAGCCTAAATTTGTGTTTCTTAATATCAAAATCAAACTTAAGCTTCACTAGTCCATAGAAAACAAATATTTATCTTCTTCACATGTAATTATTATATCTTTTTTGACCTTTACTCAACTAAAAGGAAACATGTGTTTATTAATTGACTTACTTTAATAATTGTTGAAACTGTTTCGCAGGCTTCTCTACGTTCTTACTTCAATAATCTAGAAAAACTTAGATCAGATAAATGATATCAAATTGCTGATCCCATTTTACGAAATAATCGTTAATGCATTACATTTTCGTCTGCCATATCTTGCCAAAACTTGTTGCTGTAAACTTTTCTTTATGTTGTTTTGTGTACGCCAACAACTTTTCATCTTCTTCGGGTGCTTATAGTCTGAAAAAATAAATTAATTTTTACTACTTATACTAGTAACAATTTTTTGTTTAAGTTAGTATTCGAGCAAAGTGTTTTGTAGTTCTTAAATACAAGTTATTTAATGTTTGTATTCCAATTTTCCAAAATATTTTAATACATTAATAGCCCTTTGGAATTTATGGCAAACAATCTGATATGAGCCGTTGATTAACACACCTTTACATCTCTACATGAGGTGTTCAGTTAGAAAACGGGACAATATGTGACATGGGACAACATTTCATGTTTGTGAAATACTCAGGTTTAATACCATTCCAGTCAAATTATTAAAATAAAAAATTTCATGGATCAGAAGACTAAAAATAACAGGTTATAGTAAACAGCTTCTCATGTGATCAATGTTAGTTTTCTCAAACTTAAGCAATATGTAGTATAACTGTCCAATGATTGAATGATCAATGATCATAAACTGAAAAGCCCCAAACATTTGTTTATAATAAAGTAAATAGTAGTATGGCGCCTTATGGCTACAGATTTTTTGTCCGTTGAAATATATTTGCAGGAATGTAGGGATTCGCTGCCATATAACGGCCACGATTCCCCAAGGGCTAAAGAAATCATAGCTAAAAGTCTTCGTCAACAACAATTTTAGAAGCATCGATCTGCTTACCATACGCCATATTGACATAAATCGCATCACACACTCGCATAAATTGACTTCGATATATTACATTCATGCATACACCTCACTTGTCCTTTACCTACGATTTTGGATGTAAATTTCTGCTGATAAAACTCAAAACAATGTTGGCTTTCTTTTAAACATCAATGACTGAAATGTCGCTTGCGAGATCGTCTTTGCCAAGCATTTACAATTTATCCATAAATTTTTCACCCTCTTGAAAAAATTCACAGTTTGGACAGCAGCATTCATTTCAATATATGAACTTGTAAAAGATTTCCATAAATTCCATCTGATTGTAGTTTAGTTTCTATCATGCTTATAAAAATTACTATGAAACGATCAAACATTCAATTCAGACAGTGAGTTCAGTTAGCTATCAGTCGAAATCCGTCAAACCAATCACAATAAAACAAAAATTCAAATGAACCAATAGTAAGATAGCAATTGGACTCCCTTATACGTCCGGCCACCCCTCTTATCAGTCAAGACCACTCCAGATTGTCCACTGATCTGACCATTGAACAAAAAAATAAGCTTTTTTGGCGTTCCTAGACTCCTTTATTCGTCGAGCCAGTCAAGCCACCCGCTTGTCAGTCGGTTTTTCCAGGTCAATTAAAATTCAACTGATCTGGTTACCAACAAGATATTCATTGGATTAGTCATTAGTTTTTAATAATAAATAAAGCTGGATTTTTATCACGAAGTAAATGCGATAATAAAGTAAGAATAAGTAATGAATTTTTAATTAATATGAATAAGTAATTTTTGAATTTCAAATATCAGTCGCGCGACGGATTTGACATACTCTAGATCCGCCCCTTTATGTATCAATTTCATTTTGTAACTTTGGGTATAATACAAAACAATGCAACGGAAGATATGCGTTGATTTGAGATGATCATTGATCCACATCTTGGAAAATCTACTTAGAGTGATTCAATGATGGCAGATCAATGATTGATAGCAATGATTGAGATTAGAGATTGTGGGTACTGAGAATGGTACTGAGATCAGTGCATCAGTGACGCTCATGTCACACGTGACCTTACAATAACTCTACATGCGCTGTGGTCATCTCTTCTACACGTGTGTGCCGTTGAGGCTATTTGTTTAACAAAAAATATATTAAAACATATTTTTGAAAGCTTGGCATTATTTTTCTGGTAAGAGATGCTAGTATTGTTCGAGACCTCAGCAGGTTATGCTATTTTTAAGGTATGTATATGAACACTTGGATGTCATTGCCTTTGAGCAGTGAGCACTCGTGGTGTCTGAGTAAATGTGATTTAAAAATTATCTGAATTTCTCATTTACTTCGCTTCCAGTGTATGTTGACTTCATTAAAACAACACACCAGTTGTTTAAACGTATTTCCATTGATGGAACAAACAATGTTATATATAGATAGATGTAAATATAGACAGTCACAAAAGTCTAACGAGGAGGGGACTGAAAAATAAGAATTTCATTGAAAACAATGGTGCATTTTTTTATATACTCATCATATATTTTCCCATCACATTGTACGTACTGTGAATGTTATTACTTATATAAGGATTTTGACTCATGATTTATCTGATCCACACTTTTCTATGATATTTGTATCTACTTTTTGTCATACGGTATACCCATTCCTTATATTGGATTACAATTAGTTTCCTTGAATTTTTACTAGTTATTGGATGAGGGGAAACTTCTGAAAGCTGACGATTTGTACAAAGACTTTGAGAATGCTGAAAGTGCACATAACATGTAGGTATTTTTCTTGATGAGTTTCTTCAACTTGTGTGTTGAGGAATTGAAATGATTTTACAGTACTGGCAGCCTGACCCTCTCGCTTCATTACTCAGTGTTAGTTAGTTGAATTAGGACGAAGTGGAGCAAATTGTCAGATCTTTCTTTATTTAACAAGCAAATTTGTTGAAGTAGATCTTGTTGTTGAAATGGATATTCAATGACATTGAATAAGTGAAATATGTTCAATTTTATGTGTTTAGTATGTAGCAAGTTTTAGCGCTCATGATAATCCTTGCATTTATATTAAGACACAATCTATAGAATTGTTTCACAATCCAATTCATTGTAATTACTATTCTACTTTGTCATTCACTGGTTCATTCAATATGCATATCTAAGCTATTTCATTTTTCAGAAAAATAATACAGTAAAATACTATCGCCGTAAACTCTTTTATCAGTGACTATAATCAAATATTTTATTACTTAGAAAACAAGAAAAAAGCTGAAATAGTTGCGAAACTCGTTCAGCGAGGTTATCCATCCGATGCAGTGAAGACATGGAAAGAGAGTGTGGGGAAAGAGAGTGTGAAGAAACCAACATTGGCCGAGAGTGTTGGTTTCTTCACACTCTCTTTCCCCCACTCTCTGCTCCAGAGTCTGAGAGCGAGATCAGCTCGGTTAGTTCGGCATCGAACATTTCTTCAGGACCTGATTACAGTTATCTTGTGAGCATGGCCATACTTAGTCTCTCAGAAGAAAAAAAGGATGAACTGTTAAAGCAAAGAGATGATAAGGTGCAATGAAAATTTATCTTATACAAAGTATTAATGTCAAATATACATATTTTTCTTTACCTCTGTACTGTCATCTTCAAGTTTTGTTATTTTTATATAGTTTTTCGCGTAATTTTGATAAGTTTGTTCTAAAATGCTTTTGACGAAGTTTACGTAAACATTGTCCGATCATAAACGCTTTTGTTAGTGAATTTTGATTGGACGACATTTGTATTGATCATTTTAACTTTCACATTGTCCAATCATAAAAGCTTTTGTTAGTGAATTTTGATTGGACGACATTTGTATTGATCATTTTAACTTTCACATTGTCCAATCATAAAAGCTTTTATTAGTGAATTTTGATTGGACGACATTTGTATTGATCATTTTAACTTTTGAACAAATTTTGCAATATACGCAAAAAACAAAGTGAAATTACATGTTGAAGCTGTGTGACAATAGGATACATTTTTTATCAGATTTGGTAGATGGAGCTTAAACACTCCCCCTGTTTTGAACTTTTTACCATTTAAAGCGGGTGGGAGAGTCTAGGCTCCTCAGACTGTAGAAAGTTTTTCCACCTTATTTGGAAACTGCATTCCACCAGACAGAAAAAAATTTTTCTTGAGTAAAAGTTGTTGACGCGCATGATTAATGTTGTTGATGTCCCATGTCTTCATTATTTGTTGACGACCAATCATGTTGAAAATAAATTTTGTGCGTAGAAAAATCCACCTTGTGCAAAACATCCTTAATGTTACATATTTCGAGAATTGAATTGATTTTAGTGTGATACGTCGAGCAATATTTTGGTTCGTGCAAAACGCGTGAACTTAAAATTAAAAACTTTGATTGATGCTGGAATAATACAAGCAGGAACTAATGCCCAACATTCCCTTTGTTGTGGCTAGTTTTTGTTAAATAACAATTCAGCCTGGACCAAAAAAATTTTCTTGTTTTATTAATGACATCTTTTCATTTAGATATCTGACCTGGCTGCGCTGTGCGAAAAGACGCCAAAGGATTTGTGGCTGGAAGATCTTGACGCATTTCTTGAAGAACTCGAAGTACGTTTCATTTATTGTAAGCTGCACTGACCGTTGCATGCAGCTGTTTCAAGGAATAAGGTCTTAAAATTAATTCATAAAACAAAGCTGAAACGCGCGCGTGAATTGTTATTGGGAATGGTTTTGCTAGCACAAAATATCAAATTTCAAAACTGATCATTTTTAAATGAAGAACAATATTGCATTATATGGTCCAGTATTACAAAGAAAATATTGTCATGACAATGCAGGGATTATTTTTCGATGTGTTTCCGGGGGGTGGGTGCTCTAATATTTTCAACCGATTTCTTATTGGTTAAGATTGTCGACACCAAAGAACGTGAGGATTCTGAAGCTGCTGCGGCGAAAAAAGCAAAAGACCAATCAAAGAAAAACGAAAAGAAAATCGGAAAAAAAAGCCGCCGCTAAATCGAAAAATCAAAAACTATCGCGGAATCGGAAAATGACGATTGGGGGTTTTAGCAATGAAAGTGACAACATTTTATCTGTAACAGTATTTTTAATGTCATTTCATTGCTAAAACCCCTATCGTCATTTTTATCTGAAACATGTTTGCTGCTCACGGAGCTCGTATCCGAGGTCTCCTCAAATATTGAGGAGACCTCGGATACGAGCTCCGTGAGCAGCAAAAAGTCAAAATCAAGTAAAAGCAAGACGAAATCTGCGGACATTACGTCCTTCATGGAGAAAGCGAGCAAGCCTAAAGAAGACACTGTGTCATCTTCTACTAAAGCTAAAGTTAAAAAGCTCATGTCTCCTTCAGAGCGGGTAAGTTTTACACATGAGTGGAAAAGTTTAAAACTTCATGAGCTCATAAACCAGTTTACATAATGGGTTATATGGCTGAAAACGTTTTTCACACTACTGGAAAAGTTATATCTTGATGGGCTCATAAACCGGTTTACACAATGGGTTATATGGCTGAAAACGTTTTTCACACGACTGGAAAAGTTATATCTTCATGGGCTCATAAACCGGTTTACATAATGGGCTATATGGCTGAAAACGTTTTTCACACGACTGGAAAAGTTATATCTTGATGGGCTCATAAACCGGTTTACATAATGGTTTATATGGCTGAAAACGTTTTTCATACGACTGGAAAAGTTATATCTTGATGGGCTCATAAACCGGTTTACACAATGGGTTATATGGCTGAAAACGTTTTCACACGACTGGAAAAGTTATATCTTGATGGGCTCATAAACTGGTTTACATAATGTTTTATATGGCTGAAAACGTGTTTCACACGACTGGGAAAGTTATATCTTGATGGGCTCATAAACCGGTTTACATAATGGATTATATGGCTGAAAACGTTTTTCACACGACTGGAAAAGTTATATCTTGATGGGCTCATAAACCGGTTTACATAATGGTTTATATGGCTGAAAACGTTTTCACGACTGGAAAAGTTATATCTTGATGGGCTCATAAACCGGTTTACATAATGGGTTATATGGCTGAAAACGTTTTTCACACTACTGGAAAAGTTATATCTTGATGGGCTCATAAACCGGTTTACACAATAGGTTATATGGCTGAAAACGTTTTTCACACGACTGGAAAAGTTATATCTTGATGGGCTCATAAACCGGTTTACAGAATGGGTTATTTGGCTGAAAACGTTTTACACACGATTGAAAAAGTTTAAAACTTCATGAGCTCATAAACCGTTTACACAATGGCTATGTGGCTGTAAACGTTTTACACACGATTGAAAAAGTTTATAACTTCATGAGCTCATAAACCGTTTACATAATGTTTTATGTGGCTGTAAATGTTTTACACACGATTGAAAACGTTTAAAACTTCATGAGCTCAGAAACCGTTTAAACAAAAATTTCAGATTTCTTGACAGTTGACAGAGACAGTATATATTGAAAATTCTGATTGTGTGAATGTTATCTTTCAGATAGTGAAGAACAACAAGTCAAAAAAGGAAAGAAGAAGAAAAAGAAAGGCGGAGATACAGAATTAGCTGAATCTTTTGAAATTAAAGGTTTGATTTTCATGTTTTCATACGTCAATAAACAATTTGAAGGCCCTCAGAAATAGAGCCAGCATGGAAAGCTTTGAAAACTACTTTTGTATGTATTTTTTATTGATTTACCATATCAAAGTTCACAAAGAATGACACTTGCTGACTTAGAAAACTTGCGAATAATATGAGACACTTGTTGACTTAGCCAAGTTTGATTTTTGTGGGTCACACACGTGACGTCCTGCACATTTGCCTTTGTGACTCTGACTCTGAGAAAGATGGCGAAAAACTATCAAAGCTTATGCTTTTTGAAAATGTCACCTTAACATACGTACTATAAATATCCTATACTTTGTGTAGTCCTAATTATTGTCCATGCTGGAGCTAGGAATGACTATAGGTGAATGTCACACATGTGATGGGACAATTGCTCATTACGTACATAGTTATCCTAAGATGTCCATACATGTTATCAACGTCTTTATCAATTAAATGTTAAAGTTCTTTCAATTGTTTCGTTATCCTCGAGCGTACATATGTGTTTTACAACTTTTTAAAAAATACTGATTGTTTGTGTGATAACTTGTTCTGTGTATTTTACATTTACTGTCTAATGTTTGACTGGATTTCATTTAAGATGAAGTAAAAGAAAATAAATCAAAGAAAATGAAAAAGGAGAAAAGTATATCAGGTACGCACCTATACAATTTAGTCCACAGATAAGCTCATCCAGTCCGTATAACTTGGTTAAACTCAGTGGTTTAACTAGTTTTGTTATATATTATAATATTTTGAATATTTAGCGATGGTTATTCTGACCGACCCCTGTAGGTAGTTAGAGATACTAAATTGTTATTACACTAAGTTTTTCTTCATTTTTATAGAACGGGGGGGGGGAGCAAAATTAAAGATGGCGAAGCACCTTGCCCATTTCTTTGCTTTGAGATTTGCACAAGTCAGGTGAGATGAAATTTTGTAAAACTCTTATGTGATAATAATAGAAAAATAAGGATGATTCAGAAAAGCGTGTCTTACCGTGACGAAAGTATGAAAAAGATAATTTGGTGACTGCTGACCAGTGAACACTACAACAACAATTGTTGTAGTGTTTACTGCTGCTGACAGAGGAAAACTTGTATATTTTTGTATTTGAAATCGCAAATCATTCGTGCCATCATACATTCCCAGCCACGTGATTTTGAAAATTTTGTGACTTTGTGAGTGCTGTCAGCACAATAATCTTGACAAATTCATTGGAAAACTAATAAAGAAGTCTTCATGTTTTAGGTATCATGTGTATTCAACATCCAAGCTTTTCTTTGGAGAGGTGTATCAGTATCTCCACACCGGCGAGCAAGTATTATGTGAAACCTAACTATTTGAAAAGATGGGCTAGACGTGACCAAAAGAGACGTCATATGTTTGCAGAATACGAAGAAAAAAGAGGCCGATTGAGAATGATTAGTAAGTGTGATATATTACCATCAAACATCCGCAATCATGCTGCAACTGAACTTGCCGACTTGCCTAAAGACAGTTCCATCACAAGGATAAGAAATCGTTGCATTCTCACTGATAGAGGACGTGGTGTTATTGGCGTTTCAGAATATCAAGAATTATGTTTAAATATTATGCTGAAAAGGGTTTGATTGCTGGTGTGCAAAGATCTCAGTGGTAAAAAAAATCAACTAAAAATATCAAGGAAAGACTGAGCTTTTAAATGGTCAGATTTACAAAAATTGTTCTGATGCAATTCAAAAAGTTCTTTTTTAATGGAACAATAACATCACGTCTATGGTGTTTTCTAACCAATGAACATCAATAGTCAAGTTTTGATTTTTTCTAAAATACTTGCAGCGCGTTGTTTAGTTGCATTGCGAGAATCTTTTGAAAATATTTCTAGTTTGTGGAGGATTCCGCTATCTTCTAGCTTGCTTTTCTCAACCAGACCTGAAAGAGATGAAAAGATTTTAAAACATCCATAATTTTATGTTGGGTTTTTCATTTTATTCTAACTATAAAAGATGGCAATCACCTTTTGTTAACAATGCTTCAATGACTGCCATTGAATTATACAATGTTTGCTGGTTGTTCGTTTCATTGTTTAGTACATCAGAAATGCTTTCTAGCATATTGCTCTCATCCACATACTACAAATGATCTTCTAAATGTAAACAATAATTTCATTTTTCAGCATGTGATTTGATTTGATTTTATCCCACATTCATTAAGCAATGCTTTTCACAACTGTATACTCACCATTTATGATACTGAGCACCAAGGCAACACCCATCAAAACTTCATTCTGCATTAGAGCATATTGTTATGTTACCATGGCAATAATGGGTGACATACCATCATTAATTAAAACTGCTTGAACTGATTCTTCGCAAAAAAAATGGAAATGGTTTAGTTTATTTCATTGTGAGTTTTTTTCAACATATTAACAAGAACTAAGCTAATTTTCGAGTATTTTTTAGCAATGTTACTAACAATCATGATGCTTCAGATTTCAGTCCTTCAATGCCCAAAGTTTTTGCAATTGACACCACATTCTTCAAACAGTCTTGACTTGAACATACAATATCAACTGCTGCATCTAATGGGAAAACTTTCACACCATTATAGCTACAACATAGCTGTCAATTATGATAAACATTTAGCTAAATTTGTTGACATAGATAACCTTACCCACTCCCTGTACTAGTAGGCGTATAACAGCAATGGCTCTATACATTACTGGAGATGAATTGTCTGATGAACACAGGATTTCCATAGTAAAATTCAATATACCTGCATTTATCAAAACTTGTTTATTACTTGCTGAAAATTATACCATACATGGTTATTAAATTTTTATCTTGTCAAAATCATAACAGTATGAGATATAGCATCAGTTAAACATGTAATTTGTTGAGGCAGTTCATGGTTAATGTAAAAATATCCATACAGCATCATCTTCACAGTGGCTACTAAGCAAGTTTATCAGTTTTTCATGCACTCCTATTTTCACCAGTTGAATGCAGTTCTCATCTGACCAAAAAAAAAAGACAAAAGAAGATGGTGGCATGATGTCATGCTTTGTTTCAGTGAAACATTTTATTGCTTTTGTCATTATTGAGCATTGAATAGGTGCTGCTCACCTGTGCGACCATTGTTTCCAATAGCAACAGAGCAAGAGTTACAAACATGTGAATAACTGGATTTAGTCCAAGGAAGAATTTTTTCATCAAATGTATTTTTTTTTCACCAGCAAATACTTGAGCTTAAAAGTTATCTGAAAGCAAATTCTATTAACTATGCATGCAAAGAAAATAATTCAAAGATTTGTCATTGCTTTTATTGTACTAACCATCACCAAGAAGAAGTATGATTAAGTCCACGCTAACTTTCAACTTTTCCGAAAGATTGCCAGTATTCTCACTAGTCATGTTAGTTAAAACAATTTCCTGCAAGACCTCGACACAGTTTCCTGATAGCAAGACATGTTTTGTATCTATTTAAAACATGAAATTGACATTATCTGACACCTTAGCAAAAGCAACAATGAAATTAGTACCTTCTTCTGCAATCATCTTTAGGCATTCAGCAAGTGATGTAGTTAGTTCATCTTTTGAATGTCGTAAAGCTTTTATAAATATTTCACATCCTTTGTTTTCATAAAAACTACTAACTCCTTCTACAAATATGTCAAATGATGAAATATGTCAAATAAAATTGGAACTGTATTTTGTTCGAAAGCTTCGAAATTTCTACCATTTTCAAAAGATATGTTGAGTACAGCGCCACATGCAGTAACATTTTGTCTCACATTTGTCTCTGGTCCTCATTCTGTAGCTCCTTTATTGCATTTAAGATTATGTCTACTCCTCCAACATTCAATATCACATCTCGGGCATGGTGTATAAAGGTGAAAGAGTTTTTAGTGTGAAATTCAAGAGATGCTCAAAAATTTCAAGTAGGGATATATAGTTATGCAAGTGTACTGTTATCACAAGCCAAATTTCCACATCGAAATGTGTGAAGAACAATTTCAGGGGCCTTTGAATTGAAACATTTGAGAATCATTCGTATCAACTCTTCTTCCACAAGCATATCACGGCATTCCTCTATAAAGGAGAATATTTTCAATCAAAGAAAAAAAGAATGTTATATGTTATAATGCTTAATTTCAAAGTAAAAAAAAAAGACAGATAATCCAAATCATCAAAATAGTTCACCATGTTTACAAATTTCAGCTATCAGCTCAAGGAGACTTGCTGTCAAATTTACATTAGAACTATTAAGGCACGATTTGATCTGCGGTATAATCACACTAATCTTGTCCAAAAGGCCGATTACTAAAATAAGAACACATTCGTTCTAATTAATCCACAATAAGAAGTGTTTTGAGCTGCCTCTCATTAACTGGGAGGTTTAGGGCAGTACATATGTGTGATTCTTTTTTGATGAAAAAATGAAATACCTTCGTTATCCTTTAAACTATCAATTGCAACTCTCAAATTAGCAATATGAGATTCTGTCGAAATTTGATCTCGATTAAACGAATTTGTTATTGTTTCAACAATTTCTGTTGAGTTATCCATTTATTTCAAACAATTTGTATCAATTTCATTTTGTAACTTTGGGTATAATACAAAACGATGCAACGGAAAATTAGCGTTGATTTGAGATGATCATTGATCCATATCTTGGAAAATCCACTTAGAGTGATTCATTGATGGCAGATCAATGATTGATAGCAATGATTGAGATTAGAGATTGTGGGTACTGAGAATGGTACTGAGATCAGTGCATCAGTGACGTTCATGTCACACGTGACCTTACAATAACTCTACATGCGCAGTGGTCATCTCTTCTACACGTGTGTACCGTTGACTTGGCGTTGAGGCTATTTACTTGACAAAAAATATATTAAAACATATTTTTTATAGCTTTGCATTATTTTTCTGGTAAGAGATGCTAGTATTGTTCGAGACTTCAGCAGGTTATGCTATTTTTAAGGTATGTAAAATGAACACTTGGATGTCATTGCCTTTGAGCAGTGAACACTCGTGGTGTCTGAGTAAATGTGATTTAAAAATTATCTGAATTTCTCATTTACTTCGCTTCCAGTGTATGTTGACTTCATTAAAACAACACACCAGTTGTTTAAACGTATTTCCATTGATGGAACAAACAATGTTATATATAGACAGATGTAAATATAGACAGTCACAAAAGTATAACGAGGAGGGGACTGAAAAATAAGAATTTCATTGAAAACAATGGTGCATTTTTTTATATACTCATCATATATTTTCACATCACATTGTACGTACTGTGAATGTTATTACTTATGTAAGGATTGTGACTCATGATTTATCTGATCCACACTTATCTATGATATTTGTATTTACTTTTTGGCATACTGTATACCTATTCCTTATCTTGGATTACAATTAGTTTCCTTGAATTTTTACTAGTTATTGGATGAGGGGAAACTTCTGAAAGCTGACGATTTGTACAAAGACTTTGAGAATGCTGAAAGTGCACATAAGATGTAGGTATTTTTCTTGATGAGTTTCTTCAACTTGTGTGTTGAGGAATTGAAATGATTTTACAGTACTGGCAGCTTGACCCTCTCGCTTCATTTCAAAGTATTAGTTAGTTGAATTAGGACGAAGTGGAGCAAATTATCAGATCTTTCTTTGTGTAACAAGCAAATTCGTTGAAGTAGATCTTGTTGAAATGGATATTCAATGGCATTGAATAAGTGAAATATGTCCAATTTTATGTGTTGAGTATGTTGCAAGTTTTAGTGCTCATGATAATCCTCGCATTTATATTAAGACACAATCTATAGAATTGTTTCACAATCCAATTCATTGTAATTACTATTCTACTTTCTCATGCACTGGTTCATTCAATATTCATATCTAAGCTATTTCATTTTTAGAAAAGCTTTCTAGTTTATTATGAAATTCACATACAAGCATATAATTATTTTGTTTCAAGATTAAAATTGAAGCATTTTGAAAAGTTTAATGACACAACAGACGCATTGGCAGGTACAATCATTTTTATGTAAATCTTGTTTGTATTTGTTATTGACTTCTTTTCTTTTGATCATTGACTTCATTCATCTTTAGCTGCAACTGCTGCTGTCGAGGGCAAAATGTCAAAGAATTTGAAAAAGGTTTTGAAAAGATTGTGTCTAAAGATTTGAATGAGAAACTGGCTGTTGCTGATGCAAAACTGGGAAATTCGATTAAAGTAAAATAATTTAAACTCTTATTCATTGAGTTCATTCTTGTTTATTTTTGCCCAACTTGGTGTATGTTAATAAGTATTTTATTTTCTCTTTAGAAGAAATTGAATCTTAATTGTTTGTACAGTTCAGCAATTCAAGAATTGATGAGAGGCATAAGAAGTCAAATGAACAACCTACTGACAGGTTCATCTTTGAAATTTTAATGTTGTTTAATTTTTATGTTATTTGGTCTTAATACCCTTGATGTCATTTCAGGACTTCCCGAGTCTGATGTTTCGTCCATGGCTCTTGGCTTAGCTCATAGGTTGGTTACTTTAAAGTGATGTCAATTTGAATGAGAGTTATGAAATATGCATGATTGCATGTGTGTTCTTGACAGTTTATCTCGGTACAAGCTGAAGTTCAGTCCAGATAAAGTAGACACAATGATTGTGCAAGCCATTTCATTGCTTGATGATCTTGACAAAGAGTTGAATAATTATGCAATGAGATGTCGGGAGTGGTATGGCTGGCATTTCCCAGAGTTTGGAAAGATCGTTACTGATAATTTGGTGTTTGCCAAAGCTGTGAAAAAAATAGGTACAGTAAAATACATACTGACATTACCTGCGCTTATGTTGTAGAGGTGATTTTGGTTGGTCCATGAAATATGTCAAATCCAAAGTTGTCAAATTCCTGGTCATTTTTACCGTAATGGTCAGGGCCAAGTCTTTTGTTAATAAATAATGCAAGGAACATTAAATTTGTTGACAAAGATTTTTTTGTCAAAATCTATTTCTTTGTTGGACTTTTGGAAACAGACATGTTGCATATAAGGTTTTTAGATTTTATCGCAAATGATAAATAACTATTATAGGTTTACGAACCAATATTCAAAATGTGGACCTCTCTGACATCATTCCTGAAGATGTAGAGGAAGAAGTAAAAGCTGCTGCAGAGATTTCAATGGGAACAGAGGTGCTAATCATAAATTTTATTTCAGCTAAACAATTTCTCAAGTAATTGGGATAAAAATACTGAAATTATTTTAATTTATTTTTGATGTTTCTGAAGTTTTTAGTTTTACTTATTAATTATTTTTGCAAATTGTTAAGTGAGATGTCTTGTTTTATTTGTAGATTTAATATGTTTTTATTTTTTATTTTGACAGGTATCTGATGGAGATATTGCAAATATAATTTACCTATGTGATCAGGTATGAAGACAGATAAATTAAAATATATTTTACCTATGTGATCAGGTATGAAGACAGATAAATTAAATCCCTATTTCTTGCACACATAATGTACAAAGACTTTTGCATTTTTGTCTTGTCTTTAAGCTTGTGTTATCACAATTCACTTTATATTTATGCTTGATTACCAGTGTGCGAATTAGTTCAGAAAAAACGGTGTGCAATTTTTTTGACAAAGTGTTCCTTTAGAGGCATAATCAAATCGATATTACGTTAATTATTATATAGCGCTAATTGCTAAATTAATATTTTTAAACGTGAACATATTCATATGATTTACGACAGTGTTTTTCGTTAAAACTGCTGATTTTTGCACATCGTTTGAAAAAGTGATGTGCAATTGTTTTCATTTTAGCTAAAACGATGTGCAAATTGCACATTGCACACCGTTAATTCGCACACTGTTGATTACAACAAGTGTACTGAGGCCCTTTCTTACAAAATTACCTTATTAGAATTGAATGCTTTGGTATTATTAGTTTTTAGTGCAAATTTTCCATGTAGGGCTCAAGAAAAATCACCCACCTTTCATCAATTGATTCATTAGTCTACAATAGGGTTATTGAAAATGTTTTTATTTGTCATTAAGTAAATGGATGTTCAATTCAGGTTACATAAATGAAAATTAAATTTGAATGAATAGAGAAATAGAATAAATGTATGGAATATTATATGGCAATATTCCAATTACTATTAATGCTGTTTTTTTGAAACTTTGTATTATCCTTGGATTCATAGTTTTTCTTATGTTTTCTTCATATCAGTAGGTAGCTTTGTGTTAACTGTTATATTCAATTTATAGGTTATTGAGATTTCTGAATACAGATCTCAGCTGTATGACTACCTAAAGAACAGAATGAGTGTCATTGCACCCAACTTGACTGTCTTAGTTGGTGAACTTGTAGGAGCTCGACTAATAGCACATGCTGGTACGACTTTATTTCAAGCTACTTTAACTATGTATTGTTGCAAGGGCCCAGATTTATGTGAAGAAATCATTGTTAAAATAAATTTTGGTATCGCTACATGTAACTGCTATTGTGTAATGCTTGTTTTTATTGATTTTAGGTTCCTTAGTAAATCTTGCAAAACATCCGTCATCAACAGTTCAGATATTGGGAGCAGAAAAGGCATTATTTCGAGCTTTGAAGACCAAACATGACACTCCAAAATATGGTCTGATATATCATGCTTCTTTAGTGGGACAATCAAATGCAAAGAACAAGGGAAAGGTACATAGGATATTAACAAACACCTAAGGCATTTTCTATGCTTGAAAAAGCAATCAAATAATAAATAGAGCCTTTACCTTGTTTGTTGTCTAGATATCACGCATGCTTGCAGCTAAAGCATCGTTAGCAGCAAGAGTTGATGCTTTAGGTGAGGATGTTGATGTTGAATTGGGAATGGAAATTCGGGCTAAAGTTGAATCAAGAGTACGAGCTCTGGAAGAAGGCCAGGTAAAAGGATGAATACAGTTTAGTAGGAAGAAATAAGTGTCACTTTTGTTTGTAAAATCTTGAAGTGTTAAAAGTAAAGCACATCTCTTTATAGAGGAAAAAATATAGTGGAACAGATAAAGCTGTCAAGACTCAGAAAGACGAAATGCAAGGGTAAGCTTAATATCTTTTTCTACAAGCACTTAGTGATGCATGATTTTAAATTCATTTGCAAACCCTTTATCTTCTCTTCTACATCATTAGAGCGCAGAGTATGTACACTGATGCCCCAAGAATTTATTGAATAGAGCTTGTATAAATTACAGCTTAAACATAGTAAAAATTTTCTATTTTCCCTGGGCTTTTTATCATGTTTTATGCAATGCCCACTTCTGTTGATGTGTATGTATGTGGTGTTGAAAATTTTTTAGTGAAATGAAAAGATATAATCCTGAAACAGACTCCACTTTGTTTTTTAGAAAGAAACGTAAACGTGAAGAATCAATAGATTCATTAGTAAGAGTCGGTTTTGTTTAAGTAAGTAACGAGTAACATATTTTATAGTTGTTAAGTACGTGTTAGGTAATGTTTGAATTAGGTTTTTCAAAAAATATTTTATGATCAAGTGTGCTGTTGTTGTGATATGTAATATTCTGTGCTTTTTGGCTTTCTAAGAAGTGCTGTACAATAACGCTTGTTTCATGTTGTGTGGCATGTTCATAAAGTCGGGTTTTATGGCATCTCTCAGTTTTACCAATGTACGATTTGTTACAACCTGGGAAGTAACTTGATATACGACATTGAAACGAGACAGTGGTGACATTTTGTCTTTGTTGGAAGTAAAAATAGCGACTTTTTTGTGTTAAAAATTATAATAAATTAAACTGGTTTAATGAGATATTTACGAATTTTTTTGAGACAGTTATAAATAATCTTTGTTCCTTGTGAGCCTTGATAAGATATCTAAAATTTGGACACGTTTTGGTCGATGGTTTGAGATTGAGAGAAATCATTGGATGAACTAGTTAGATTGTATTTGTGTTAAAGTTTTTAAATAATTGACTTGATCAGTTGTCGTTAATTTGTTGATAAAATTTATTAATTTGTGCATTAATAAATTTCAGCACGACAAACAGGGTTGAAACTAAGCCCGGGTTGAAATTGCTCCATGTAATCGTCCTCTTAAAATCATAAAAAAAACTTACATGATGGCTCTTTCCGCAATTGAGGAGGCGGCGGCTTATTTTTATCAGTCGTGTTTTCTGTAATCAAGAAATAGACAAAAAAGCAAGCCTAAATGTGTGTTTCTTAATATCAAAATCAAACCCAAGCATCGACAGTCAATAGAAAACATAAATTTATCTTATTCACATGTAATTATTAAATCTCTTTTGAAATTTACTTAACTGAACGCAAACATGTGTTTATTAATTTACTTACTGTTTTGTCTATGTTTTAAATATTTATTGTTACGGCTTTTTAGGCTTTGCCAAGATCTTCCTTCCACAATCAAGATGAATTGAGATCAGACAAATGATATGAAAGAGTTAATCCCCGTTTCATTAATATTCTTCAATGCATTACCTTTTCTCTTTCCATGCTTTTCCAAAATTCATTTGTAAATACTTTTCTATCATTTGCTTTAATATACATAAGAAGCTTTTTGCCATCCTCATCTTTGTAGAGCCTTAGAAAAATAAATTAATTTTTGACACTATTTATGATCGTAACAATTTGCTTAGAAATTAAATATTTAAATAATCACTTAACACTAAATAGTCGAGTGAATAAATGATCATTCAAAATGAGTAAGTAACGAAAACCATAGATGTATTGAAAAATATGCATTGACTAGGTTGATTTTTTCTTCCATGAAATCGTAAAAGTCTTCACAAGGAATTGATACAACGTCCGTGGTGAATTTTCATTTCATGTAATCGCTCCCATACCCTTGGGTCAATTTCGAGGCCCCGTCACTTTGGTAAGAAATTGTCTTTGCCGATTAAATCAACAAGTCTTAGGTCGGTGAATTAAAGAAGTAAGAAAAATTTAGCATAGCCATACAGAAGTCATCTGCATAAATCACGATTATTTAAGTTTGTACTTATTAATATAACTTGGATACTTCTGCGGCTGGTTGTACGAAAGCCGTTTACAATAAACGACGTTTAGCCGTCATCCAACGTGTATATTATTAATCTGACAGAGAGTAAAACGATGGTTAAACCTGCGATGCATGCACGCCGTTTATCGTAGCGTTTAACTAACTGGGGCAAGTTGTATGAAAGGCGTTTCACTCGTTAACCAACGTTTAAATCGCCCTCCATGCAGAGCAAAAAAAGCAAAGAAACTTTAGCCATTAGTTATGACTAGTTTCTTTGTTGTAAAATCGGTATTAAATCAGCGAAAGATAAATAATAATAATAATAATAATAATAATATAAATAACAATAATAATAATAATTATAATAATAAAAATAATAAAAATAATAAACTACTATTTGACAATTGTGGACATTTAACTAGAAATTTTCCCAGGTTTAAAAATAAATTAATTGATTGTTTAAACATGATAATACGAGGAATTTTTAAATGAGATGGTTAGTTGTAGTTTTTTTTAGTTACTCGGAGTTGACTGAAGCAACCGTCAAAGAATAATTTTTTGTATTAGTACTATATAAAGGTATTGACACTTCATAATGACAGCTCCGGTTTGTGTATGTTAGTTTCGACAGAAACAGCTAAGATGATGTATTATTGCAAGAACTTGTGATTTTGTCTTTATAATGTCTGCTCATTTAAATAGTGGTATAGCATTGTTAAAAAATAACATTTTCTTTTTCTGCTTGGCTCGCAGGCTGATTCTGTTGAATAAATCTGCATCTTAAGTTCACCTGTCAAGATTTTTTGCAAGTTATATGTACTTAATTTCTATTTAAAGTCATTATGTTCACATGTAATTAATAAATTTCTTTTGACATTTACTTAACTCAACGCAAACATGTGTTTAATAATTTACTTAATATTCTGTTTCTTTTACATGTCTTATATCTGTCTCTGGTTTGATTGTTAGTATCTCTAGAATGTCTTCTCATGTTGTATTGCTAATTCGCTTCATTATTTTTATTTTGTTGTCTTGTTTCGTAGACTTTGTGCTATCCTTACGCTGGGATTTATGTATCATTATATCCATATACAATTGGGTATATGAAAAGGCTTTGTAAGGCTTGTTTCGTCGGTACTATGTATTATTGATGGTTTTGTTGGGGTGCTTTGCGTTTTGTTGTTTTGTTTTGTAGGCTAATTTGGGTTTCGTTATTGTTGGTCATTTTGGCTGTATATGTTCTTATATTCAGAGCGGTATATATCATTCCGTGACTTTCCTGTAAGACTACTGCTTCATTTGTGGGTTGCTGGGACAAACTTTTATTTCCGATCTGATGTTCGGTTTGCAAATTATTTTCAAACCTTGTTTGCCTGTATTTTACAGTATTTTCGTGCAAGACAGTACAATGTTGGTGTGTATATTTCCACTTCACTGGACAGAAACTAAAGAACTCGAATGTGCACTGACTAAACATGCACGCGAACTTAAACAAGCTTGGTACAGTAAAGACAAAACTTTTATACATTCATATATATATATATACATATACATACAAAGTGTATATATAACGTGCCCTCCTGGCTACCACCAAAATAAATTGGTGACTCCTGCACTTGGGACACAGGACGTACGTTATTTATAACGATATACTGCATTCGTCAGTGCTGTAAACATCCCAAGTTTTGCTGACTAAAAACAGCTAACAACTTATCCGCATAACAAATCCCTATTTACACAAGAGCAATTGCAGTTTGTATTGTCTTTATTTTGCCTCCAGTAGCTCTTTTAACTCATAAGCGAGACTCTCAATTGAGACAGAGCCACTTCTTTAAGATTTGTGCACATAACTCGCTGACAATGGTACTACAGTATAAATGTTGTGCCAAATATACCAATAATAATACATATAGCTAAATGAGCTTTACAACAGTTTTTATTCCTGACTACACTTCTGTGTATAAGCTGCATGAGATACAATAATGTTAGTTTTTTAATTACATAAAACATTTCATCAGCATTCATGTTAAATGTCCATGTTGCTTGATACATATACATTATCAATTGCACATGGTTTATAACACAAGCAGGAAATATACATGACATTCAATTAGTGGGTTTTATTGATATTTTATCATATATTTCCTATTTAAAAATATTTCTTTTTTGTGTACATACAATCTTGCCTGCTAAAATTTTTCTAAGAAGCAGAAAGCTCTTGCTACTCTTTGATGATTTAAAAAGTAGGAAAAAAATGAAACTCCCAAGATTTAGACAAAAATAGGCTAATAAATCACAAAGGCATAAATAAGAGTTTCACAGCTAAGGCTCATTAACAAATGTACCCAATAAATTTTATAACTCAGTTTTTTGGAATGCAGAATTAAGAACAAAAGAAGTATTTTGTGTATAGCTGTGAATATAGTATTTCACAAGCAGAGAAAAGACAGTTGCTAGATTACATGGCTACTAACTATGATGACTCAAAGAAATATTTTCTAATAATAAAAAATCCATCACTGTCATCTTTTACAAATATGTGTGACTTGTGACTTACTCAGCTCTTTTAAACAGAAACAAAACGACATTTTCCTTTGTTACCCTCAATCTCTCAGTTTTAAATTCTGTAAAAGCAAGGCCATTTAAACATTTAACTACTTGCACATAGAACACCATATGAATCAATTTGAGAAGAGTTCATTGTTTCGTTTTCCCAAGTCCGTTATATATAAATAGTAGATGAAATAAAGCAGTCCTTTTCGAGACTCATATCATTCATCCACATCGTATTGTATCACACAGAAGATAAATGTCCATTTTCTGGAGAAAAGTCCAAAGTATATGCTACAATTTAATTCGGTTATCATGTCACCGTCAATCGTTTATTAAATTTTCTTTTCGCATCATCAACATCCGTAAAAACGACAATAGTTTGAAATATTTTAAGATTTTTACATGAGCGAAGAGATTATTCTTGATTTTGATGTCATTTTATAGTTCACTTGCCCGCCATTACAATGCATTAATTAATTAAACTTTATGTCATTTAACGTAAACAACACTCCACGCAATTTCCACGCAAGTTAACTACGCAGTTACTTAACTATCCGACAAACTACGTTTTGTGCAACGCAGTCAAGTCGAGCAGTTAAATAACAGCAGTTAAGGAGTTAACTACGGTAGTTAGCGTTAACTATGTTAGAGTTAACTACGTTTTTATAAAACCGGCCACAGAAAGAACATTGACGCCATCTTTTCATGCATATAATTTACCATATAGATATATATCAACATAATATTGTGTTTAGATGACGTAGATGATCATCTAGCTATGGTACTGCCAGATTTCTCAATTGAAAAATAACTGGTAATACTCCATTGAGAATTTGTGACGCGGGTAGAGAGGCTTAAATAGGAATTATCGGAGCTTGACGGATGTGATCTCTTTTATATACTTCTTCCTTGTCAATTAAAATCTGTGTGCATGAATTATGAGTCTCAAGAGAGGCGTTTTAGGATTTCACTTACACATCATAGCAAATGAGTATTTCCCACTACAAACAACATTGTGTGTCTGTCAATTATTTTTTCCTTTTTTCTTATAAGCTCTTCATTTTCTGTAAAGCTTTTTCAATCTGATAATTAAGACGTGAAAGTTATCCTTTAGCAATTAAGCCTGAATTGAGATTTTATGCATAAAGGTAGTCGACGATTACTTTCTGGCTTCAAGTTGTAAATAAAGCTCCAATATACAAAAGCAATTGTTCATGTTTCATTGTAGTTTAGTCTTTCGTTATGCATTATTTGATGATTAACCTTGACTTATCTTGAATAATTAAAATCATTAACGTATATAAAACATCGATTAATCAATATTCGTTCTATTTCTCGATGATTCTCCTTGTGTACTTTAGTTTCTACTCAGCTGTTCTATTTCTCCTCAAAGAGCACTATTGTCTTTATATCGCTTGTTTCTTAGGCGTTTAGTTTTCTTCTTGGGATAACATATGTCTGATATCTGTCTCAGCTTTGATTGTTAATATCTCTGGAACGGCTTCTCATGTTGTATTGCTATTTCGCTTCATTATTCTTATTTTGTTGTCTGGCTTCGTAAACTTTGAGTTATCTTTACGCTGGGATTTAATTCACTTGTATTTAGTGAGAATGTGTCTTGAATCTTTATATTCAATCATTAGCTTTATGGTCAGTAAAATCGCAATGCAAATGTTTAGTCGTCGACATTTAGTTTTCTTCTTGGGATAACATATGTCTGATATCTGTCTCAGCTTTGATTGTTAATATCTCTAGAACGGCTTCTCATGTTGTAGTGCTATTTCGCTTCATTATTCTTATTTTGTTGTCTGGCTTCGTAGACTTTGAGTTATCTTTACGCTGGGATTTAATTCACTTGTATTTAGTGAGAATGTGTCTTGAATCTTTATATTCAATCATTGGCTTTATGGTCAGTAAAATCGCAATGCAAATGTTTAGTCGTCAGCATTTAAAGTTAGGATAACATATCTGTTATAAGTTTGATAAGGTTGTCTTGCTAAGATTTTGTTGGGTATGGGGTATAAGATTTGTTATTATTGATGGTTTTGTTGGGGTGCTTT